CACCCAGCATGCCAGAAGTTATAAATGAAATGCATGCCTCAAGATGCGTTCCAAAGGCAGGCGTCTTTGGAATTCCTACAGCCATGACCGGACCCTCCGGAGCTGCAGTTCCCTCACTGCTAAAGAGATAGGCACCTACTCTGTCAAGGACATGCATTTTGGGGTCCTATCCCAATTATACTGTTGTGAGGAAGGGGATGCGGAGAGGCTAAACTTTTAAAAGTAACTCCCTCGGTAGGCTTCTTTTTCTGGTTGACGATCCCTAAGGTGTGTACTGCACTACTGATTAGAATTTATATGGCGATACCATTTTCTGCAGAGCTTTACAATTATGGACTTAAAATATTTAACAAGTAATGGACATACAAAATAATATTTGCAAAAAAGTAATGATGGTCCAGGCACTCAACTTCAATCCAGTGGGCAGATTTATTGGAGTAGAATCAAAACAACGTTTCAGCCCACAACATTGCTTGACAAAGGCGCTGTTGTGGGCCGAAACGTTGTTTTGATTCTACTCCAATAAATCTTCCCACTGTATTGACTTGAGTGCCTGGACCATTATGACTTTTTTGCAAATCACATTGTGAGGATTGGCCAACCTCAGGCCCGGTTGCACCCTGGGTTCCAAGAGAGTGCGGTATCCAAATTGGTAATTATACAAAATAATGACAGAAACAAGAGGTGAAGAAGGCCATGCTCAAACGAGCTTCCAATCTAGTACATTATATCTTTCTCCTGGTTATCACAATAGACCTGTAGTTCAAACACTATTTCTTATACGTTATTATGCTCCAAAAAATATTACAATTACATTAAAACTGATAAATATGTTTTAAGCATACTTTTTAAACTTGAACCGTGTTGTTGTAGGCACTCTACAGGCAGCATTAATGAAGTGGCTATGGTGGAAGTTTTCTGTGTACAACTTTCACTGCCTCCAAACTGACATAGGGTAATCCAGGGGTAATGGAAATACAGCAAGACCAAATCCAACTTACAAATATTTTGGACACATAAGAAGGAAGGTGAATCCTCCATCTCTTTTTTCATCAAAGCACCTGAAAATAGTTGACAAGTACCAAAGGGACTGCAACCAAACAAAAATAAATTGCAGAGATCATGTTATGGTGCTTGGGATGTCCCTTTATTAATCTTTTAATGTGTGATGCATGCTAAAACAAATATATTTTTGGAAGTGTGGCAATGTTTATATTGCAAGGCTAAACACACTTCTAGAGGCTGTTATCCCGACAGCCAGTAGACTAGCAGATGCTTATGGTGCTACTACAGAATCAGACCCAGTTCTTCAATCAATGCATCTGAAAGAGCTTTTGATTGGGGGGGAGCATGGCACTTTATGGGCATGGGTTTTTCATCCACAATATTTCTCTATGACAAGCAGTGAACTGGATGAGAAGATGGAAGACATCAGTATGCTTGCAGAAGGGGAAAAAAAAGCTTGACAAGCGCTTCTCAGCACTGAAAAATATAGTAAAATATACTAAAAGGAACACTCTGGACACCATAACAACTTCATCGGTGTAACTGTTTAACCCACAAAGGTTGCTCTCCAGCGGCATCCAGTTTCTCCAATTCAGTTTGAGGAAGCACACAGTAGCTCCTAAGTCATAAAAAGGTACCATCAGCCCCTTGCTCCTCGAGCTCCTCCCTTATCAACATCAGCCTATAAGTGACATAATGTGGATGCACAGCAAGTGCTGTGCGCATAAGGCTTTCCCATAGGAAAGTACGGAGTTAATGGTTTCCTATGAGGTTTTTCGACATGCTGGATGTCCTCATGCAAAGCGTGACAGCTTCCAGCGTTGTTTCACTGAGTCAGACTCCGGGAAACTGCAGGAAGGGCCTCTAGTGGCTGTCTAGTAGAGGCAGTCTTAGCACTGCAATGTAAACATTACAGTTTCTCTAACACTGCAGGGTTTTACAGAGCAGGGCTAAGGGGGTCAGGGACACTTCACCCAGACCACTTCAATGTGATGAAGTGATCTGGGTGCCTAGACTGTCCCTTTAATTTGGCATTTTTCAACAGAAAAGCAGATGGACTGAGGTCACTATAATTGCAGGGAACTTATAGTTCCCCAAAAAAAAAAAAAACACATAATGAATATAAAGTATTATTATTTTCTGGACTATAGGTTAAGTATGTAAATTTAATGTTTATATCTGTGACCAAATAACTGTGCCCAATTACTAGAGAACGGCACCAGGCTATTCCTACTATCATAGTAAGCTATAGTAGTCATGATGGTTGGACAACTCCATGATTACATGTGTCTGTGGTTATAACATTTTCTACAAATGATGTAAAAAATTTATTTTAACATCAAAATCTTTATTACAGAGTAGTAATTTACAGCCTGCAGTTTTTTCCTG